CAAAGTAGGTTGCATGTGAACTTAGGAATTGTTTTCTAGTTTATTTGTTTTACCTAAAACCCATCAGAAACCCTCATCTCTCAGCCTCCATTGTTCCTATAGCCTCAAGCACAAAACACTAAGCCTTTCTCTTGTGTTTTGAGCTCATTGTGTTCATTTTTGGTGGTTTTGGGTCATATTCAAGAAGTAGAAGATTGGTGCAAGGTGGTGGATCAAGGAAGAGCTTGTGGACCTCGTTTATTTGCTTCATTTCCAGCTTGTTTGAGGTAAAAAGCTATGATCTTTCCCATTAGTAAGCTTAGATCTATCATTTGTGTGTTTTGGTCCCTTTCTGGCCCCAAGATTGAGATCTAGTGGTTTAATACCACTTCAGGAGCTTTGAGTTGCCACTCTTGGTGTTTCTGAGGTTCTAGATGCATAAACTTGCCTCCTTTAAGGTTTAGATTCTTCCATGCAAGAGTTTATGTCCATTTGATGAATTTAGGGTGTTATATTTTGGAGTTAGGTCTTTATGGGGCATGCAAAGTCACCAAGTCAGTGACTTTATGGTTATAGACGCTTTATAGGACTTGGATATATGGTTTGGGCTTCTGGTCTTAAGAATTAAGAGCTTAAGATCGATTTTTGGCTTAATGGTTAAGTACGCTAGGCATACAAGTCAGTATGCGCGACGTACAACCCAAGTTGCGTGTACGCTTAGCGTACAGCTGAGTACGCCCCGCGTACTCAGTCTGTTGGGCTTCACAACTTTTGGGCCTCGGTTGGGTCATTTCTTTGGACTTTGTTGCTTTGGGCTTTAGTGGGCCACCTGGAATCAAGCTTTTAGGCTAAGAGTTTGGACTAGGAAAATAGTTGGGCTTTAGTGTAAGGCCTATAAAGGGGTTTGGGCCCAATTTGGAAATTTAGGCCATAAGTGGGCTTTGGTTGATTATTTGGAATTATGCCTTTTAGATATTGAGTTTGGGCCTTAGCCTTGGGCCAAACTAGGTGAGGGGTAAATGGTCCTTTTACCCTAAGTATGGATTGTTGGACTTATGGTTGTGGATTGCAACCCAAATATTTATTGGGTGCTATTTTGTATTGATAGCTCGAGGATTCGTCAGGACAACAACTAAGGATTTGCAGTGAGATTCAATAGTCGAGGTGAGTTTCCTCACTGGGTTTAGCAAGTCTAAGGCACCAACGTCAACCCTTGTTGATTATGCTAGGATGCTAGGAGTTTGTATGACCCTTGCATGTGTTATGTGTTGCTATGTATATCGGGCGGGGATCGATGCCGGGCGAGGCCCGATGACTGGAACATATGCTATTGTTTTATGATCATTTTATGTGTTAGCATGATTATATGATATATATATATATATATATATATATATATATATATATATATATATATATA